TGTCCACCGGCGGCTTCCTCCCAAGCCACCTCTCCAACGGCACCCACGAGTCATCCCCAACCTTGGTGAGTACCGTGTTCCTAGCGACGGTAGCGTGCCGAACAGCATGGGGCCACATCAAGTTGCCCAGCCCAGATTCTATGAGCAGCGCCCTAGCTGTCTCCAGAATTGTCCGGTTCGCCCGTTCTGCTACACCGTTAGACTGTGGGGTGTAAGCCGTGGTCAGCTCCCTCTGGATGCCCTGCTTCTTGAGCCAGGCCGTTATCTCAGCTCCAAGGAACTCACCGCCCCGATCTGTCCTAATCCGCTTCACCACACACTCCGCTTGCTTCTCCACGAATGGCAGCCAATCTTCCCGTATCGTAGAGGCGGCATGGTCCTTCTGCTTCAGCGCATATGCCCACATAAGCCTGCTCCAATCATCCACTATGGTCAGAAAGTACCACTCCCACTTGTGTCCCTGAACCGGCAGCGGCCCCACCAAGTCCATGTGGACCAGCTCCAACGACGTTTTGCTCCTGCCAGCCACACTATGGAAGGGGAAACGGGTAAACTTTGAGAGCAAACAGATTTCACAATTCTCATCAGGTGGCTGTCCGTTCAGCTTCAGACCCTTAACGGCTCCATCTTTCTCCAACTGCTTCAACAAGGGCATTGCCATATGCCCCAAGTGTCGGTGTGCTGTTGCCCAATCCGTCTCCCCAGATCTGGCCGACACTTTCACACCAACCCCTCCAACGGCATTGCACTCCCCCTGGGATGCAGACCCGTCTCCAGCCTGCCCCCCACCGTGCCACGCCAATGCCGGCAGCTGCCACATGGATCTATACATGTCCGTGCTCTCGTGCAGATCCCAAAGCACCCGATTGCCTAGCTGCCCCTTGTAAGTGCGTGCCCCATCCGTGCTAGTGCTCACCCCAGCCTTGCCAAGCTTACGGAGGGAGATGAGGTTGGCCTTGAGTTCAGGAACGAGAAGAACGTCGTGCAGCACCACCGGCTTGCCATCCGCTCCCTTAAACGCAGCTCGTCCCGCACCAGCCACCTTCAGCGCGTGTCAAGAGGCGGAGCACACCTCGTTGATCGGTGCAGCGCGTACGTGGTCCAGCAGGTCCTTGCGCGGCGTCATCGTCCAAGTAGCGCCCGTGTCCAACACGCAATAATCCAGGGGGTGCAGCTCTGCTCCAACCTTTGCAGAGGCGTCTTCTTGCTCCCCCTGCTTCCCCTGCTCTCCAATATGGAAGAACTGGCCCACGGTGCGCTCCTTCTTTTCCGCACCGCCGTTGCTCTTTGGGTTGTTGTCGGACGAATCGGCGACCATGCTCGCGCCGTTTTTCTGGTTCCTCCGCGCGCCGCCATCCTGGTGACAATTCTGGGGGGTCCATCCATCGGGTTTCATATAGCACAAAAACCAGGGGTGCCCCTCCTTCTCAGAATACCAGCAATTTCTTTTCATTTTGCCACCAGCACCCGACTTGCCCCCACGTCCCGATTTCGCACTACGACCCCAACCGGTACCTCCTTGTTGGTCGTTGGAGTCGTCGTCCTTCTTTGCACCGCGTCCAGCACCACCGAAGCCACGTCCTCTGCCACGTCGGCTTCCTTGCATCCCATAGACGCTGCTGCCGTCGTCTCCACCCCTCAGTTGGCGGCGACGGAAGTCCTCCTCCATAATCTTTGTCCGCACCCACTCGAGTGTCCACGAGCTCTGGTTCTGCGGCAGGCTCAATCCGCTCGTGAATTGAAGCCACGATTCCGACAGCAGCGAGAGCATCTTCAGGCACTTGGTCTGCTCCAGGCAGGTGATTCCCGCGGTCGCCAACTTCGCGTAGAGGTCGCGCAATTTGTCCAGGACAGGTTGCACAGGCTCTCCCTCGCTCAGGCGCAACGCGGACAGCTCCCTCTCCAGCATCAACGTGGCAACAACGTAGGTCGGGGCGTGCAGCTCCTTCAACACGGTCCACGCCTTCGGACCACACTCAACCTCCGGCAGCAGGTGCATGACGTGGTGACGCTGGTTCACCTCCAAACTCTGCGACATCAAATAGTAGCCAGCCGAGGAGCGCTCGTCCCAATCTTCCTGCAGCGTGGGGTCACTCGGTCTTGGCTCCTCCCCAATCATTAGTTTCAGCAATCCAATCTGACGGAAATATAGTTGCATTTTCCAGGCCCAATCATCATAGCCCTCACCATTGAACTTATCGACGGTGAAGTTTTTCAGCACCTCCTTGACCAGCGAGCCCTGGTTTGTTCGCGCTCCCCTTGGCGCTGAAACACCAGAATCATGGCTGCCGCTACGATCTTGGGCTGAAGATTCACCAGCTCCCGTCAAGGTGTTACCCGCCATAGCTACCTATATCGAGGATCACTATAACGCAGCTCTGATACCAGCTTATTGGTGTAAGGGCCTAATAAACTCAAGCTATTAAGACTTTATCAAACTTAAAACCTCTCCTCGGGGTCACCTCCAAGGGTCCTTGGGTGCCTGGTATAAGACCAGCCCCTATCCTCGGGTCCGAGATTGTAGAGAGAGGGATCAAGAGGGACTTAGTCAAAATAACAAGAGTACCTTGAACGTCGCGCAGCGTATCGTGCAGACCGTCGACCGGATTAAGCTGAGAATTTCCTATATCGAAGCTCACTCCAAGAGCTTTAAAATAAGCCAAGTTGCCTCGCGAAAAGTTCTGCCATTACAAAGTTATGGCTCGGACAGCGTTTGCCTAGTGTTGGAGTGCTAGCGTACTAGCGTTGACTCGGGTAGCATTCTGCCGTCGCACCGCGTAGAAACGAAATTCCAGGAAGGGAGGAATTCGCTTGAATCAAATTGACTATATTCAGGTACAAGCAGAGAAGGAATAAATAGCTCTAGCTAGCAAGGACCTTGGGAATCAACCTGGGAACAACCAGGGATGATCCCAAATAATTCCAAGCAGCAGAACCAACCTGGCTGGACAAAACAGCAGGTGTTAGGTTGGTAAACAACCTGTGGTTCTGTTTTTCCAACCTGGGAAAACAACAACCAGGTTCAGGTCCTAAAAAACAGAACCTGATTTGTCTTTGCCCAACCAGCCAAATGCTGGTTCCACTGGTTTCCCCTAGCCCTGTAGCAAGCAGATACAGACAAACAACATCCAACCTTCCCCTTAATTGTACCCCTATAGTGCCTGCCCTGCTACATTTAGTCAACCAAACAAAACAGTACAATTTCGAGTTGGATAGAACTGAATCTGCACAATCAATTCAACCGAACCGCAAAGCTTCCATCTTGGGTTCCTTTGCGAGCTCGTCCTTTCTGCTTGTACTATTCATAGCGCGTACAATGTTGTGCCGAAGCACATAATGCGCGAGTACCTGCAAATGCTTCAAGCGAAAATTGCGAAAGCAAACAAACATACGAACATTCCATTCACACTCAAATGCATTCGCACACGCATACTCATACAAACAGACGATTGGATGCCGTGCAATGTGAATTTGCACCCAACAGAATCAAGATGCCACTCTCATCACGCTCGATCCACACCCCCAAATAGTACTTAGCCTCCCCCAAGTCCTTCATGCGGAAACGAGAAGACAAGAGACCCTTCACCTTGTCCAGCAAGACCATGCTGGAAGACATGAGCAGAGTGTCATGCACACAGAGGTAGAGGGACAGCGTGCCCTCACGCCTCACCAAGTGGTACAAGGCAGGGTCACACTCAGACCTCTCAAAGCCAAAATCCATTAGCGCCTCATCAAACTTGAGGTACCACTGCCTTGGAGCTTGCTTTAGCCCATAGAATGACTTTCTGAGTCGGCAAACCTTGCCAGACCCATCATCAAAACAAGGGGGCTGCTTCATGCAAAGCTCCTCCTTCAAGACCCCATGAAGATAGGCAGTGGTCACATCCATGTGATGGATGTGAAACCTCGAGGAGGTTGCCATCCCAAGGGAGCCTCTCAAGGTAGTAGGCTTACCCACCGGAGTAAACACCTGGTCATAGTGAACACCCCGTGTTTGAGTGCAAGGGGGGCAAGGGCGCTAGAGGGGCTGGCGGGGGCGGTGGAGGTGGCCGCGGCTCTGTGCAGAGGAGTGGCTCCGGTGGTGGTCCGCGCCAGCAGCAGCAGCCAAGTCGTGAGACCCTGTCCCCTCAGCAGCTTCGTGAGTGGTACGCTGGGCGTCTGCGCGGTGGGGGTACTGGTCCCTGCACCTACGTCCTCCGTACCGGCGACCGCGCAGGTGAGCAGTGCGCGGGCTCGCACTCCACCCAGCGCTGCTTCGGCCGCCTGACGGACGCGTGGCGTCACCAGTTCCCTGACGCCACTGAGATCCCTCGCTGGGGAGAGCTGTCTAGGGCGGGGGTTGCTATCTTTGATCTTGATTATGATGCTATTCTTGCTGCCATGTATGCTCTGTCTGATAGTGTTGAGGGTGACTGTTACCTATGTGTTCCGCCTGACCCGGGCATTGAGGCTGCTGCTCTAGGTGCTGGTGAGGCTGCTGCTCTAGGTGCTAGTGCGTTTGCTGCCCCAGGTGCTGGTGAGTCTGCTCTCTCAGGTACCACGTCAGCTCAGGCCTCATACACCTTCACCCTTGACTCGGGTGCTTCCCGCTCCTTCTTTTGAGACCGCACCACACTTACGCCGCTTATGTCTACTACACAGGCATTGTATCTTCGGCATCTTGGGTTCGGCTCACTGTTGCAAGCATATTTCAAGCTAACCTAACTCCAAGGTTCTCTGACAATGTCGCGTCCAGGCCATTTTTCAAAACAATACATCAGCAGTGTATCTACTCTTCAAAACGCAAGGTCATTATCAAGTCTTTCCAACCTCGACATGATCCCAAGGTTTCAACCTCGGGAACGCACCATTTTGATCAAGAGAGCAAATCCCTGGCGTAGAGAGAAGGTTATAAGGAGGTGGTGCTCAGTACTCGAGTAGCAGAAGCTTCACAAGCTTATCGGTCAACCAGGATCTGCTCAACGATCCTTCAGCCGTTCTCTTCAAGTCATCATCGCACCATGCCTCTGAAGGGTCGCTCGACTAAGGCGGCCGTGGATGTTACTCTCCCTGACGACATCATGCCGGATCAGAACTTCACGCCAACACCTGTGGACGAAGAGGCTGTTGGGAAGGATTCGGCACACACGGTGAACTCGTCCAAGGATAAGGCTGTCGCGGTTGAGCCGGCATCAGTGTCTGCTGCTGGTGCTGCGGGAAGTTCGGGACTCACAGTGGAGGAAAAGAGTCAGTTGCATCAGTCCGTGGTTGTCGACGAGGAAGAGTTTCTGGAAGACGACTCGGATGAAGAGTTAGACATTGATATCGCAAAGGAAGATGCTTTCCGCCTCCGCTTTACCGTTATCTTACTCATTCCGATGGTGCTGTCGCAGGAGATCAAAGCTATCATCTCAGCCGTCCGTCTTCTGATGTCTAAGGTGTGGTGCTCCTCCCTTACCGCGAATGCTGGAATCACGACCAACATTCAGGAGATGACTTCTGGTTACGTGGCGAAGACGCGCTTCTGCCGGCTGCAAATTTCCTTCCTGGACGAGAGGGATGCTCACCATATCAAGTCACATGTCTTCGAGTACCAGAAGGCGCACGGTCCGGCAATCAAGTGCATCTGGCAGCACACGGAAGATTCCTCGTACCTTAAGGAGAAAGCTGCTCACCCTCTTGCTATTGAAGTGCTTTTTCGTCGCGTACCTGCTAACATTGTTCCTGAGGTGCTGAAGGATCTGCTCGTCCGCTTCAAGCTAAAGATGCGGAAGCAATCTGCCTTCAAAGAGGGTTTTGCTTTCCACCGCGTGGCTCATCCTCTTACCGGTGCGGATACTGATGTGATCAAGGGCCTGGTCGTTCAGCATCCTGGTGACCGTTACCGCTGGCGGCACATCGTCGACAATCCGATGGAGACTGGCGCGAAGCTGCTAGTCCACTTCCCTTCACTGTCCTGCCTGCTCTGCGGTGGCCAGCATTATGACATTCATCATGATCTGTACATCACAGAGCGGCAGAACAACATAGGGAAGTGGAACTTGTGCCTGGGAAAGATTCACTGTATGAACGGTAACCGCATCGATCATTTTCATAATGTCACCTCACCCTTACCTCTTTCACCAGGCACTGACGTCCCCGTTTGCTCTCGCAGCCTCATCCCTGAGCACCTCCGCTCTGATCACCCCCATCTTGAAAGATCCTGCGATTGCACTTATCTCAACCGGCAGCAACCGCGAGGAGTGGATCTGTAGGCAATTGTACTGTGGAAAGGCGAAAGGAAAATCCTTCATGGCTGCTGCAGACCACATCGTCTCAGCGACTCACCTGCTGAACTTGGAGAAGCTGGGCACAGCAACAAAGGTCTCACTGGACAAGGCGGTCCTTGCCAGCCTGAAGAAAGACTATGGGTTCTGAGGCTGCAATGCGAGAATCGTGTGCTGTGGTCGATAGTAGGTTGGAGTGCAGTTGTTAGCGTTGTGTCCGTCATCAGCCTGTGGATGAACAGGGGCTGCCAATCAGTGAATAAATGACGAACAAGAATTTTTTCTCCTTAGCAGGCCTGAACGTTAACGGCCTTGGCGACAGAACAAAGCAATCCAGAGTCACAGCATGGACACGCACAGCAGCCGACATCCTCATTCTCTCAGACACTAGACTTCCAGACGATCACCCCTACTGGAAAACTCCACCCTTCGCATCAGTCCTCACCACCCCCCCCATTGACAAAGCCGGTGGGGTTGCGGTGCTCACCAGAGATCCCTCCATCCTTGTTCGCTGCATCGCCGCACACCCCTCTGGCAGACTGATAGTAGCAGAAGTTAGCCGACCGGGTCTCACCCTTGTGCTTTTAGCAGCCTACTTCCCTGCGGATGCCACCACCAGATGCTCCTTTCTAACCAATGTCATCGGTCCAGCCATAGATCAGATCCAGTCCAACGCGCATGTCGTCTTGATAGGAGATTTGAACACGGTAGAGGACCCCACTTTAGACAGAACCTCACAGACGGGGACACCCTTAGAAAACGACAGGCTCATCGCTCGCTGCAGTCGCTTTCAGTTCTCAGATTCGTTTCGCACCCTGCACCCAAAGAAGCGGGAGTTTACCTTCTATTCCGCCTCCAGTGACTCAAGCTCCAGGATCGATCGAGCCCTCATCTCTTGCTCTCTCCTCCCCCATCTTGAAGTCGCTGCTCACACGATGCCTGAAGAACATATCTCTGATCATGGGTTCACCATAAAAATCGCTTTCAAGACCAGAGCCACCACTCACCTGGGTCCCGGGATCTGGAGGCTGCACGCAGCAGCAATCGGAAGGCCAGGAGTGCGGAAGGCGGTGGAAGCCGCTCTTACCAAGGCGGCGGAGAACGGAGTAGAGGACTTTCAGCTGCTGTTGGGTAGGCTGAACGCGGGTCTGCGCTCATACATGAAAGAGGAGGGGAAGAGGATTAAGAGAACTATTGCTCATCTGGTAGATGTAGATGCGGAGCTGAGGCAGGAGCAGATGCGGAGTCCAGGCTGTCAGCGGACGAGAGATCTTCTGCTGGTCAGAGAAACGCAACTGCACGAATATCATGCGGCCAAGCGGGACAGGTTGCACCTGATGGCAGGCACGAACACGGAGCTTGCACGGGAGGTTCCGTCTCCCTTCCTGTCGGCACGGGTGAAGGTCAGAAAGCAGCGCACGCAAATCGCGGAGTTAACGGTGGGTGGGACGACAGTTTCAGACGCTCAGGGAATTCTGAAAGCAGCCACTCAGTACTACACCGACCTGTCTGGAGCAGACGGCAGGACTTCGTCGGAGCGGTGGAAGCCACTTCCGGGGAAAAGGCTGAATGCGGAGGCGGCGGAGATGTTGGAAGCAGATTGGACGGAGCAGGAAGTGAAACAGGCCTTCAAGGCGCTGGCTAACAATAAGTCGCCGGGGAAGGACGGCCTTCCGAAAGAACTTTTCGAACGGAACTGGGACATCTTGGGTGGGGAATTCCTTAGAATGGCGCAGAACTTCTCTGACACGGCTTCAATTCCTGCCAGCATTAAGGAAGCAGTCACCATTTTGCTTCATAAAAAGGGAGACAAGGACAAGCTGGACAATTACAGACCAATCACTCTACTTAACTTCACTTACATAGTTCTGGCGCGTGTGGTGGCGAACAGGATGAGGCCCTTGCTTCACCGAGTAATCTCCGAGGAACAGTATGGGTTCATACCCGGGAGGAGAATCTCGGACGCGATCGGTGTGGTAGCCGACGTGATTGAGGCGGCAAAGAAGGGTGACGAGGACTGGTACTTGCTGTTGGTTGACTTCCGCAAAGCGTTTGACTCCGTCTCAAGAAGCTTCATCTTCACGGTCCTCAGGGAGATGGGTTTCCCGGAGAGGTTCGTCGGCTGGGTGGAGGGCCTGCACAGGGAGACAAAGACAAGACTTTTAGTTAACGGCTGGCTGGGCGAAGCGGTAGATGTGAAGTCAGGAGTCAGGCAAGGGTGTCCACTCGCCCCTTACCTCTTCCTGTGCGCGGTGGAACCCCTTGCGCAAGAAGCTTGCCGTCGCAAACTCGGACTCTGCAACAAGGCAGGGCAGCGGCCGGTGTACCTGGGTTATGCGGATGACACTACACTCTTCCTGGAGGGGAAGCGACAGATTGCCAGGGCTGAAAAACTCTTGGACTACTTCGCGCAACTGTCGGGTTTGGCGACAAACAGAGACAAGTCAGTGGTCATGCCGCTCGGTCACAACCTTGGGCGGAGACCTGGGACGCTGGGAGGTTTTAAGTGGGCAAAGGCGGACGAAGCGGAGCAGTTACTCGGGGTGTGGGTCACTCCCTCTGGAAGCAGTGCGCCAACCTGGCAGAGAGCCTTCGAAAAAATCACAGTTGAGCTGATAAAATGGAAGGCGCTCTTCCTCACGATCGCGGCCAGAGTGGTGATCATAAATTGCTACATCACGCCGAGAATCGCTTACCAGGCGCAGGTGTATCCCCCACCTGAGAACGTCTGGAAGCAGCTCTTGAAGCTGATGCACAACTTTCTGTCAGGGAATAACGCATCGGCGGATGGGAGCTATTTCCTTTGGAGCTGGGATCTTCTTTCCACCCCCAGAGTGGACGGCGGCCTTGGGGTGCTGGATCCGGATATCCTACTCGCTTGTTTGGCTGCCAGGAGGATCGGCGGTCTACTGCTGGAGGGGAACGGGAAAAAAAGGAAGTTATGCTCACTGCGGTCGGACTCCCGATGGGGAACGACACTTTCGTGGCGCACGAGAAATTGCTGAAGCACTGGCCGGGTGACGAGGAACGGTGGAAGCAGACGTGTGAGGTTTTTCTGATGTCGCCATTAGCCGTGATCGGGGGTGCTCTCAACAAAGAGGAGGTGGCGCATGAACGGCTTGTTTTTAACAGGAATATTTTACTGAACGGCACAAACCCGATCGGAGGTCAGCAAGCGGCAAAAGGTCTTTGGGAAACGCGTTTGGGTGACCTGGTAACCACTGACTCCTCAGGCGTAGCAGCGGTTAAGGACATGGAAATCCTGGAGAGGGAGCTGAGAGGGAAAGAGTCAGCACGCTTGGCTCTCAAGGCGTTGGCAGCTGCTCCACCAGATTGGAAGAACCTCTTGGTACCTGGCTCGACACAGGGGGCTGGGGGAGTTTCTGGAGCTGTTTCACCCAGAGGGGAGGGAAGCGCAGTTACCTCGATCTTCAGGTCAGCCATATTTGTGGACGGGCAGCTCGCCCCTCTGAAGCGGTTGAGGGAGGCATGGGCCAAGCCTACCGCAATCCTGACGAAACAAGAGAAGTGGGCTGGTCGCTGGAGTGGAAAGATTGACTGGCAGCGGGTTATTCGTACACGTAACTCGCTCGCTATCCCGAGCCGGCCACGTGACGTCCTCACGCGGGTGCATAACCTGAACCTACAGGTTGGGGAGAGGGTGGATTTTTTGAGCTGCAAGCCGAAGTGCCCATACTGCGGGGAGGAGGAGACGCATGAACACTGCCTGTTCACCTGCCCCAGAATTCAACCAGTGGTCTCAGGGCTACGTCGTGCCCTCCGCATGCTCAACCCTTCACGGTCTCCGAGCTCGTTGGGAGACCTGCTGTTCATGGAATCTGGAACAGTGACAGACTTTCCAGAAGGAACGCTCACGGCTATCGCCCTCCACCAGCTGTGGGTGGAACGATGTGATGCCACGTTTCGAGGGCAGAAGTTCAGAGCGAGGAGGGTGCTCAGGAGGATCGGGGTAGCTTTTCGGCTGCATGCGAGGGTATACACGAAGGCTACAGGAGCGAAATGTCTGAGGCCGAGCACGTCGGGGAAGCACAAAAGATTCAGGGGGGTTTTCGAAGCTGAGCAAAAAATGCTGACAAGGATCCGTGAGGCTGGCGACAAGAAGTGGAAGTGGTCGGCCAGTTTCGATGCAATTTGGAACAAGCCAAGGAGGGCTTTTAGACCCCCCTAGGTTGCCGGTCTGGGCGGTGCATGACGCCCGCCCTCACGCTCAGTTACGACTGCTCTTGTTGTATGCATTGTCCTTTTAATGCACTCAGCAATTCCAAAAAAAAAAAAAAAAAAAAAAAAAAAAACCACACTTACGCCGCTTAGTCGGCCGGTTGCGGTCTCCCTGGCGGACCCCTCTGGGGGTCCTGTCCTTGCTAGCTTCTCCACTGTCTTACCGTGCCCGGCAGCCCCCTCTGGCACCCTGTCAGGTCTCTACCTCCCCTCGTTCTCTACGAACCTTGTGAGTGGAGCTGATCTACAGGATAGGGGGGTTGACCAGTTCACTCCTGCGAGTCAGCGGGTGACCCAGTGCACGTGTGCTCGGACGGGCCGACACTTGGCCACGTTTACCCGTCAGCCGGGGTCGAGCCTGTACACACTTACTACTGAGTCTCCTCCGGCTACTGAGTCTGGTCAGGTAGCTGCGTCGAGTCAGGTGTTTGCTGCAGCGTCCAGGTCTGGTCCTGAGTCTGCTCCCTGCTCGTGTCGTCTCCTGTCCCACCAGACTCTCCTTTGGCACCACCGCCTTGGTCACCCCTCCCTGCCTCGTCTCCGAGGCATGGCCTCACGTGTCCATGTCTCTGATCTCCCTCTGTCCCTACCTCCCCTACCTCCGGGGCCTGCCCCTACCTGCGTCCCCTGCGTCGAGGGGCGACAGGGTGCCGCCCCTCACTCCTCCGAGTTTCCTCCGACAGAGGCTCCGCTGCAGACTCTTCACATGGACGTGTGGGGCCCCGCCCGCGTCCATGGCCAGGGTCACGAGCATTACTTCCTGTTGGTTGTTGACGACTACTCGCGTTACACCACAGTGTTCCCCTTGCGCAGCAAGGGTGACGTCACTGAGATGTTGATCGACTGGATCCGCGCAGCTCGTCTCCAGCTCAGAGAGAGTTTCGGCTCCGACTTTCCTGTTCTGCGTCTGCACTCTGACAGAGGCGGGGAGTTTTCCTCTGCCCGTCTGGGAGCCTTCTGTCAGGCACAGGGCATCTGCCAGACCTTCACGCTTCCGGCCTCTCCACATAAAAATGGGATTGCTGAGCGCCGCATTGGCATGGTCATGGACGTCGCTCGTACGTCCATGATCCATGCGGCTGCCCCCCATTTTATGTGGCCGTTTGCGGTTCAGTACGCAGCGCATCAGCTCAACCTTTAGCCCCGGTTCTCCTTGCCAGAGACCTCCCCCACCTTGCGGTGGACGGGGAAGGTTGGCGATGCGTCTGCGTTTCGGGTCTGGGGATCTCGGACGTTTGTCCGCGACTTGTCTGCGGACAAGCTGTCCCCCCGTGCTGTTCCCTGCGTCTTCCTTTGCTTCCCCTCTGACGCGCTTGGGTGGCAGTTTTACCACCCCACCTCGCGCCGTGTTCTGTCCTCCCAGGACGTCACCTTTGACAAGTCGGTGCCTTACTACCGTCTCTTCCCCTACCGCACTGCGCCCCTCCCCCCGCCGCCGCTCTTTCTTGCGCTAGGTCCTCCCACGATAGACCCCCTCCCCCCTCAGGGTCCTGCCCCGCCAGGTGTGTCCCAGGTAGACGCAGTTGAGCCTGTCGAGGTAGCTGTTGACTCTGGTGCTGCTAGAGGTGCTGAGCCTACGAGTGCCGGGTCTGGGGGTGCGGAGCCTGGGGGTGCTGAGTCCAGGGGTGCGGAGCCTGGGGGTGCTGAGCCTGGGGGTGCTGAGTCTGGGGGTGCTGAGCCTGGGGGTGCTGAGCCTGGGGGTGCAGAGACTAGGGGTGCTGGGTCTGCTCGTGTGGTCTCTCGCGGTGCTTCGTCGAGGCGGGAGCTACTCTCTCCGCAGGAGATGCGCGAATGGTTTGCCCGGCGCTGGAGCAGGAGGTGCTACTGTTGCTGCTGGTCCTGGAGGTGCTCGTTCTGGCGGTACTAGAGCTGCAGGGACTGGGGGTGCTGCTGGGGCTGCTGGAGTTGGTCCTGCTGGAGGTACAACTGGAGCTGCTGGCGGTACTGGAGCTGCCGGTCCTACTGGAATTGGTGCTGCTGGAGCTACTGGAGCTGCTAGAGCTGGAGCTGCTAGGGGTGTTGGCGCTGGTGGTTCTGCTGGCGCTGGTACGTCTGAGGGTCCTGGAGTTGGCGCTGTTGGAGCTGGAGGTGCTGCTGGCGCTGGTGCTTCCGCTGGGGGTACTGGTGCTGTCCATGCTGGTTCTGGAGGCGCTGCGCGGCCGCGGCCGTACTTCGTTCCGCTCCTTGAGCAGGTTCTTGGTCTCCCGCCCTCTACTGGTCCTGCTCCTCCCTTAGAGTGTCCACAGCCTGTCCAATCGCGGTCACAGTTGCAGCCGGCCTCCCCCTTACCTGCTTCTTCTCCCTACACTGGTCCTACTGGAGGTCTTGCTGAGCGTCGTGAGCCTGCGTCTCGTCCTGCGTCGCCTGTTCGTGCTGCTCGCACTAGTCGTCGTGCTCCGCGTCTACGTCCTCCTGCGGTCCCAGGCACACACCAGATGGCACTGCGTCCTTCCACTTCTCCTCTGCGTGTCCTGTTGCCGTCTCCTCCAGAGTCCTCTCTTCCTGTTCTTGCTGACCCGGTGTCCGGCTCTCTTCGTGCTGCCAGTCCTACTGTCACGCGTCTCCTGGCTACTGTTGTCACTGACCCTTCCTTTGAGTCCACTGCTGCGTCGGCCCTAGTTGCTGAGCTTGTCGACTTTGCTGCTCGCTGTCGTCTAGACTACGCCGCTAGTCTCGTTGCTGAGTCTGAGTCTATCTGTCCTCCGTCCGTCGGGGGTGAGTGTGCTCTTAGCGCGGACGTCCTTGAGGACAGGCAGGAGGAGTTCCAGTGTTTTGCTGCTGCTTTGCCTCATCTCGTGTCCACATTGATTGCCCCTGAGGGAGACCCGGATGCACGAGACATGCTGACTCCTTGATCGTACGCTGAGGCGATCGAGGGTCCCTACTCCTCTCAGTGGCAGTCAGCCATGGACACAGAGATGGCTTCGTGGAAGTCCACAGGCACCTACATCGACGAGGTTCCCCCACCTGGGGCGAACATCGTCAGTGGCATGTGGATTTTCAGGGTGAAGCGGCCGCCGGGTTCTCCGCCTGTCTTCAAGGCGCGTTACGTGGCTCAAGGCTTCCGTTAGCGGCAGGGAGTTGACTACTTTCAGACCTTCTCTCCCACCCCGAAGATGACCACTCTTCGGGTGCTGTTGCACATAGCCGCTCAGCGCGACTACGAGCTTCACTCTCTTGACTTCAGCACAACTTTCCTGCAGGCTGCCTGCACGAGGGGATCTGGCTGCGCCGCCCACCTGGCTTCACTGGGTCGTTTCCTCCTGGTACCCAGTGGAGCCTCCGGCGGCCAGTCTACGGTCTCCGTCAGGCGCCCCATGAGTGGCACGACACATTGAGGACTACACTTGCGGCTCTTGGGTTTGCTCCTTCTACAGCCGACCCGTCGCTGTTTCTGCGCACCGACACCTCTTTGCCGCCGTTCTACATCCTCGTGTACGTCAACGACTTGGTCTTTGCCACAGCTGACACTGCTGGACTCGCCCACGTGAAGTCCGAGCTGCAGAAGAGACACACGTGCACAGACTTGGGTGAACTTCGCAGCTACCTTGGCTTGCAGATCACCCGGGACAGAGCACAGCGCACCATTACCCTGACTCAGTCACACATGGTGCAGCAGGTCCTTCAGCGCTTCGACTTCACGTACTCCTCGCCTCAGGCCACTCCTCTGTCTACTCGCCACTCGCTCTCAGCTCTGCCTTCGGATGAGTCCGTAGAGCCGAGTGGCCCGTACCCAGAGCTTGTTGGCTGCCTCATGTACCTGATG